CAGCGATGAAAATGACAATGACGACGAGGAAAATGATTTCACCGAGTATTACACTAAAGAAAAAAAGACATTATTAGTATCGCAACCGGAGCTAAATGATTTTATTAGAGATCTAGGTTTACCAAAAGATGGTGCAGAATTTGCTGCTTCATTTATGAAGAAAAGAAACTTTTTGCATCCGAATACGAAAGTGTCATTTTATAGAGATCGAGATAAAGAGTTCCGAAAATATTTTACGAAAGATAAAGAGACATCTTTGGTGTACTGTACTGACGTAATAGGTTTGATGAACAATTTAAAGGAAAATGTGTATAGAGATAAAGACTGGAGACTTTTAATCGATTCCTCCAAACGTAGTATAAAAACCGTTTTACTACACAATACAAATGTCTACGCTCCAGTTCCAATAGCTCATTCAACTCAAATCAAAGAAGTATATAATAATATAAAAATACTTCTAGAGAAAGTGAATTACGAAAAACACAAATGGTTAATTTGTGGTGATTTTAAAATTATAACAATACTACTGGGACAACAATCAGGTTTCACACGAGAGCCATGCTTCTTGTGTATGTGGAACAGCAGAGATCGTGCTAAATATTACAAGAAAAAAAATTGACCTCCAAGAGTATCGTTAAAACCAGGTTCTCCCAACGTCATTCACCAAAGTTTGGTAGACCCCGAAAAAATTATATTTCCATTTCTTCACATTAAGCTTGGTGGGATTAAGCAATACGTGAAAGCGTTAGATAAGGACGGCCAATGCTTTAAGTACATAGCGAAAAAATTTCCAACTATTTCTTATGCTAAATTAAAACAAGGTGTATTCGATGGACCACAGATTCGAGCGTTATTTAGAGACACGAATTTCGTTTCTCAAATGACCGACACTGAGAGGGCAGCTTGGGAAAGTTACAAAGAAGTTTTAGAAAATGTTCTAGGCAACAATAAGATGGCTGACTTTTGTTGGATGTTGAAGAGGGAAACGAATAGAAAAGGAAAGAAACGTAAGCGAAACCCTTTACATAGATCCTTTGCAGAAAAGAGAACACGATATAGGCAATAGACTGAAGGGATGTTCTAACGGTAACAGAATTAATAAAGGTATTATTTTAAATATGTTGAACAGAACAAGGGGTTATTCACTGAAGAGTATATTAGAAAACAATTCGTAAGACTTTAAGATTATAAAAATTGATATAGGATTCGTTATCAAAGGTCCCGAAAAACCGCGAGTAATAAATTTAAAAAAATCGTTAAAATAATGTGTCCGCCATATTGGATCCGCCATTTTGAATTTTGATAAAGCAACACCGGATTCGTAATCAGCTATTTTTTATTGCGCTGTGTATGGTATAATTTGTTTGTTTGGAATCTTAGATATGTTTTTGAGGTTAGGTTCGATAGATTTAATGTTTTATATGAATTTTCAATTGAAAAGCTTATAGAATAGTTTATTTAAATTAAGGGATCTTAGAAAATTATCAATATGCGGTTGATGTCAAATTCTGATGACGGATTCAGATTCAGCGCATCAAAATACATCGGAATACATATGTCTCGACCCCATATTAAGGCGGTGTCAAAGTCGATGCGATTTTTCCATTGAAGCTCAATGCAAAAATCCAATCGACTTTGACACCGCCTTAAGACATTTTTTTGTGTGGCTGTGTAATACTGCAAGATTTGAATAATATTTTTTCAAATTTTCATTGCAAAATTCCCATCTGAAGAGGCTCAGTGTGGTTAGGCGAAAGTTAATGTATTTTTAGAGAATATCTCTTAAGAAAAAAGTGGATTATACAAAACAAAAATTATTAACATTACATACTACAATTGAAAAAATCCAAAAAACATTTACATCCATTTCCACAAAGATGTACACATGTTAAAAGACAGTTTCATGGATGTTTTTTGTGAAATAGTAAATAGTTTGTGAACATAGTCTTCTTAAAACATTGTTGGACTCTTAATGTGTATATTAGAACAGTGTTTCATGAGTGTTCTTTGTGATTGTGTGTAATTGGTTTTAACAGTGTTTTCTGAACACTGTTACAAATACAAATTCTTTGTGTAAAACGTGCTCCTACTGTGTGAAATCATAGAAGTGTGTTTTAAAATAGTGAGAACTGCGCGTTTATGCAGAATAGAACTATTTTCAAACGTTTATGAAACCTTGGATCGTTGGTCACATTTTCGACAGGGGGCTAAAGGTGTTATGGAAATGAGGGAAAAATTTGTCAGAAGTTGCTATATGGTATTAGAATAACAGATTAAAATGTAAGTAGTTTGTTAGTATGTTTTATGTTAGTAGTTTTAATCCATAAAAATTTCTTGAATATCCAATTTTCGAAACTTTATTTTCAAACGCGTTTTTTTCCGAATAACATTTTTCATATTTGCGGGAAGTCGTTGCCGCTGCACGACTTAAACTATGGTAAAGAGGCATCCTCAATTTGGTAGATCAGTTCATCCACTAGGAGTGCTGTTCTTCCAATGGGGGCACCAATGCTCTCTTAAGGAGGAGTGACACCCCTAACTGGAGGAAAAATCGAATCTGTTTTTCTTAGCTTCATCGATACTTTATAATGTGTAGAATAGAAATTATATCTTGAGACATAGTTTCCAAATCATTTTATAAGAAGAAAATAGAAATCTGCAAAAGGTGTCGAAGAGTTCTTTTCAGCACTATCGGATAATTTTTCTTATATCGTAGCAGCTCAAAAAAATAAAAAACAGCTTAAAACTGCTCGAAAGGATGAAAATGAAGTAAATATTAATATAGAAGGACGGTTATTTGGTACAGGCATTACGGATTAACCGGTAGTTCATTTTTAAAGGTTTAAAGGTCGGATTTATTTTTGGTTTGATTGTTTCTTTTTGGTAATAGGTTTTTTGAAAAAATTTCGCCCTAAAAATGGATTTTTTTCATCAAACAGCTGCCAAATTCACAAAAATTATATTTTTAAAATATCTTACGTACTCTAAATCTACGTTAACCACATATTTAGAAAAACTTTGAATTTTTATTTTAGATTTAACCCCCTAACCGGAATCTTGCCGCCGATTTGCCCTGCAATAAAACGAGACCAACCTTGGCGCCTTCTGCAGGCAACAAATCTAAACTTTTTTTAAGTAAAAATATTTTTTTGGAAACTTTGTAAGTTAACATATAAAGCCCTCAAAACCAAATTTAAAGACACATGTGTCTTAAACAAATTCATAAAAAGCAGCTTCAAAAGATACCTTAGGGGTGTTACCTCCCTTAAGAGAGAAAGAAGAGCATCCAAATTGTGGGACGTAAGCGTGAGACAGTAGCTCACCCAAAAACTTTTCGGTGTAGTTTTATTCTTTATAAAATTAACAAGTATATGAACCAACATTTGAGATGATTTTACGATTAAATTATTATTAATTTTTGTTATTTTTACCTGCATTGACGTTCGTATTATTACAAAAAATAAGAATTTTAAAAAACCTTTTTTATTTCAGATAAAAATTGAAAATGCTAGAGGTCCCGCAAGTGGAGGAAATATATCAGGGCCGTCATCAGATATCACAACACATATTTTTGTTAAAATGGATAAAAACATTGTAATTGTTCAAAACAGCAATAAAATGATGTCAAAACGAAATTGTATTCTAAATAATTCTTGTCAAAAAATCTATAAAAATAAGCCTTCTAATGTAGTTCCCCCCCTTAATATTCTTAAAACTTTTTATGTAGAGGAGACCGGGGTAAAGTCGGTCACAGGGTCAATTTGGTCAAAACTGATTTGACGCTATGAACTCAGCTTAAGATGGAGATATCGACACTATGAATAGTACTTAACATTCAACTTATCTTTACGAAATTTCGTTTAGTTTCATGAATTCAACATGGAATCAGAGGTGGTCAAGTGTTTTTAGAGGTGCCAGCAAAAAGAACGTTCTTCGGATTTTTAATTTTTTCGATCATTATTTTTGAGTCTTAATTTATTTGGTTAAGTTTTTTAAGCTATTGGATGTCGTTTTTCGAAATGTAAGGAATACATTCAGAATGAAGTCAGTCACGTGAAGACGGGGTAAAGCTGTTCGCACAAGAAATGTCGGTGCTGTGTGCTGGGTAAGTGTAGAATGGGATAGAAAAGGACACAATGATTCTCTATTTGATAGAATTAAATAAACTTTCTTTTGTTATATTTTTAAACTTGCGTCAAAATTAATGTGCGTGATATATGTTTCATGATTGAAATAATATAAATAACAGAATTAGAATCATATATGACAAAACAAAATTTTAATTATTATATTCATTATAAATAGATTAATATTGATTATTTATGTCAATAATTACAATTAATAACAATTGATAATGCTAAATGTTTTGCACATATTACAAAAATATATAGAGAAAAAACAAAAGAGGGAAGTAATATACATATTCTTGATAATATTTTAGGAAGAAAAGCTCATATTTTCGTTTTTGGCTTCTAACTTGCATGTGATTAAAATAAAATGAATCACGTAAAAAGATAATTGTTTTGGAATAAATTTTGAAGAAAATGAACTATAAATAAAACCTGTGCTTACAATTTAAAAATATACATTTTCAAAAGTGATAATCGACAAGTTCTGTAGATTTGCCCATATCTGATTTTTTCTAACGCATTTGAAGTGTATCCTGCTCACTAACGACATGTCTTGTGCTTTCGAATGATATAAAATAAAGTAACTTGGATTTAGAGAATAGTTTTTAAAATTTTTACCTATCTGACCAAAAGTGACCGTATTTACCCCGGTCTCTACTACTTTTTCCTTAGCTTCCATAACGTTCAAATCTTAACAGAGTGCGATACTTATTCCTTGAGTTATTATATGTTTAATGAGTGAACAAAGGCTAGCATTTTTTCCATTGTAATATAATAAGCAATTTAATAAGAAGAAATGAAAATAAAAAATTCTAGTTTATGCTTAAAAGTAATATAAATTTAATTTTTTAATTACATTGTTTTGGACAGAATGAGACACATCCACAAAATCGTCCTGCGAACAGCACACGAAGAAGAAAAGGGAAAAATAAAAAAAAGGAGAAAGGCAAAAATAGTGTAAAGCCAAAATATGAAACAAGCGATAATGGCATTAGTAAAAGTGAAGATAAATGGAAGGAGCTTCGCAAATTAGGAAGCAAGAATCATTTAGATAGTATAGAAGAAAACGATAGTCATTTGAACAACAATGAATTTTTTTGTAATCTTCCCAGCTCAGCTTACTCCCGTGTAGTATTAAGTTCAGAGCGTGAGGATAAGAGCTTATGGTCCATGGAAGGTATTTTAGCCCAATGTCACATTGACGACGCTCTTCGTTCAAATCCTGAATTTCAATCTCTTTGCCAGACGCAGGCAGAAAACGGTCATGGATCTTCAAAATGTTGTCGGAGTTGGTCACCTGCCAATTTTGTAGCTCTTCTATCCAATCGAAGTTCTTGTCTTGGAGTCACTGAAATTGACTTGATACGAGTGGAAATTCTACTTCAAAGATGTGCCTACTATTATCATAATTTGCAATTGACTCCCGATTGTGCTGATAACTTAGATTGCCAAAAACGAGTTCCTGTTGAATGTTACGCTTACAATGCTCCTTATCATCTTTTGCATTATCTTCTTGACATTGATTTTGTTCAATTCAAAGTAAGTTCTATTTCATTATAATGTTAGTTAGAAAAATGACAAATTCAATTAGATGGAAGAGTTATGAATATATTTTTTATTTAGAAAATAAAGACAATAATTATTAAGACTGCATGTAATCATTTTTATTAACAGGTTTTTCTGAGAACTAATATTACTCATCTCTAATATCAAACACTTTATGGAATTGTTTTTTATATTATTTTTTAATTAGTTTAGAATTGTTACCTTATATATCATCTTCAATGTCTTTTTGTAAAATATTTGTAAAATTCCCACACATAAAAAATTCTCGGGAAAATAACACATTTGACAAAATTATTTATTTAGAAACATTTAACTATTATAAACCTATTATTATTTATCTATTATAAAAGAGGTTAATTTTTATTTTAGCAAATTGTAAACAAAATGTATAATAAAATCTCAATCAAAATTGTGCTTTAAAAATAATTATGAGTATCAATTACATTGGATTTAGAATTTTAAGATGCAGAACAATTTTTGCTATTGATTTTATAAACCGCCTTAGCTTTTACAGATTTAATATTTTCTTTTATCATTTATCGTAACTTATTACGATGCATTTATATTAAGAAAACATGATTTGAAATTTATAAAAGTTAAAATAAATATAAAAATTAGATTAAGGGGGTTGGCGCGCAGGGGGCAGAGCCCCCTTAGTATATATACAGTAAGAGTATCTGACTATGAATCACCCCTAAGGTGCGAGTGAGCGCACATTGAATGCCGCATAAGAGTGTCCTCTTCGTACTCGTGGACTGACTGGACTGATAATATTCTTACTGTATACTACTTCAAATCTGTGTTAGGAACGGAAATTATTAAAGACTTACGAAAGCGGTGTATGCGCAAGTGCGCGGGTTTAGGTCCCGAAAAAGGCGCGCAATTGTATGATTAGAGCTTGGATTAGAGGTTCGTCGATCGTAAGATACGGCTGTGCGTGAAAAAGTGCGAAACGTAAAATGTAAAGAATGTGCGTGTTCCAATAGTCTGAACTTTTTGTTTAATTGTTATTTAAACTCTTTTGTTAAAATACTTCTTGAAGCGGTTATTTGATTAATATATTTGTTAATTTTCATTGTACGTTTTGTTTTGTGTTTTTATTCACTTGGAAACTATCTCCTTTACCACGCTTTCCACTCGACTACTCTGGTATAATTTAATATTTTTCTAACATCTGGTTCTCTTAATAGTAATTATATTTATTTCCTAATTGAAAAGAAATATTCATATCTCTTCTATCAAATAATATGTGCCTTGCCAGTTCAATTATTTTATTTTCTGATCCTATATACTTCAATATTTATACACATTTTCCAAGTCTCAAATTTTAATCACTAAGAAAAAGACATTCCTATTGGAACAAAAAATTTTTTTGGTAGTGAATTTTAAATATTAATTTTTATGTACAAAAAAGTACACTTTTTCTAAGTATGTATTTTAATTTTTAACTATTAATAAATTGTAGTTTTTGTAGTTTTCATCTCTATGTTTATAACTTAATTAATAATAATAATCATAATCTGTTACAGAAACAAGATTCAGCAAACACACTAAATACAACTCTACATTCGGTAATGTTGTTTTTACCAATTGCTGCAAGTTCAGCGACTCTGGATTTTTATAACAATCTTAATTTTGACGGATTGTTCTATGGGAAATTTCGAGTGGTTGCAATTGATCTTGGATTGAAAAGCACACTTTTCGATCGTCTTCTTGTGTCTGATTCGTCACTTTTACTATCTGGTTTTGCATTTATTACAGTGTGCATCTGGATTTATTCGACTTCCATTTTTCTCACAATTACAACTATACTAGCTGTTTTATTCAGTCTTGGAATTTCTTATGCTATTTACACTCTTGTCTTAAGGATAAACTTTTTTCCCTTCATGAATTTATTGGCGGTTGTTGTTGCTGTTGGTGAGAATATTTACTTTTTTCTATACTTGATAAGTATATATTTCCAAAATAAAGCATTGATTGTAGGGTAAACCAGACAGTAGTCGGCAACTTTTCAATTTTGAATAGCTATAAAACCGTATGAGATAAAAACAATTTGTTTGTTACAAATCATTTCTAATATCATCATAAATTTTATTTACTAATTTTTTTAACAAATACATTTTTTTCATAAACATGATTGGTTTAATAGTTTTGTGTGATGGTAAGGAACAATGTCACCTGAAAGAATTTGAAAAAAATATGAATTCCATTTTTCAAACAGTGTTAATTAAAAAGATTGCTTCAGGTGACCGACTACTGTCGTATTCTTACTTGTTTATTTGATAAATACATTTTTTAAAAAAAGGAGATAAAGTTATTATTTTAAGGACCTTAAAAATCGACCTGCAACTATTAAATTTAAGAAAAAATGTTAATAATAACAAATTTTCAATTTAATAACTTTTAGACATAATGAGATATATTAGGTTTGAATACAGTTTTAGAAAAAGGCACACTATGGACCTCGGGACTATGCTTACCCGGCTACTGTTTTCATTTGTTTTTAACAAACTTAACATATTTTTAAAAACGTTAAAAGTAAATGAAAATATAGTTTGGAAAAATTCTTAACATTGTCTTGAAACATTTTTGTAATTTTGTAATATATTTAATCGAATGTTTTCTACAGGTATCGGAGCCGATGACGCTTTTATTTATTGCAAAATTTGGGAATGCAATAAACAACAAAAATTGACAAACGGTGGATTGGAGAGATTGGTCCAGGAAACTATGGCTCATGCACTTCCGTCTATGTTCACTACTTGTTTGACGACTGCAGTGGCTTTTTTTGCTTCGATTGTAAGCAATGTCACCGCTATAAATTGTTTTAGGTAAAAAATGAAAAATTTTTTTAAAACAATTTTGAAATTTTATTACTTTTTTATGGGTCAGAATTTTTGAAATCAACAGAAGAAAGAAAGAATTCCATTGAAAAAAATTTTTTTTAGGGCGTAGGTATTGTCCCTTTAAAATTGTTTATTTAATAAATTCTTCATAAATAATAATATCTTTTAGTGTTTGTACCTTTTGAAAATCAGAAACAAATTTTTGTATAGTTTATATGAGGCATTCCACTTGAAATTTTCATAAAAAATGTTTTTTTGTTTGGAGCAATTTTTTTTAATTCTATGTAAAAAATAATAAAACATTTTTTTATTTTGTTATTAGAATGAAAATTTAAACTTCTTTAGAAACAGCACGGTGTGTTTTTTCGATTTAAATGTAATGAAAATGTACCTCAAATTTTCTTGCAGAGTGCATTCTGCCGTCCAATGTAAGAAGACACATAAGCGCCAATGTCGCTTAGGTGTTTATTCTTATGTTTACACTATACAAATTTCGACCTAAGCGACAATGGCGCTTATGTGTCTTCTTACATTGGACGGCAGCATTAAAGTATGAAATTCTATAAATTTTAAGACCAAAAATAAAGAAATCGTTCTTTCAGTTCTTTCAGTGCGTTCTTTCAGTGCAGCATACTATTTAAATAATAATTTAATTAACTAAATTATTTTATTTCTACATTTTTTAAACTTGGGAGGCACATTTGAGCCGACATTGGCGCCCAATCTCACTTTGGGCGACTACGAATTTGGGAAGATTTCCACACGGGTACTCACATCTTAATTCAACTTTTCCAACTCACAACACTTTAAAGTCTCTACTTGTGGCTGCAGTCCTGGAATGCCCCATATATACAATTATATAACTTAGAAAATTTTCGAGCTATACGCTCATTGCATTTAATTCTTCCTGTGCTTTCAACAGGTTATTTTTATTCAATTATTATGAGGATCAACGATAATTGCATTTTATTCTACATTTATTAGTGTAATTTGACTTGGAGGATTGATAATTTTCTTGATATTTTATATTATCTTTTACCAAGTGATAAGTTCTACAACTATTTAATATTAGTATAATTGTTTATAATAATTTATAAATAAGTATACTTCAAAAAGATAGATAGAAATACCAAATTAATTACAAAAACTCAAACACGCGAAAAAATTATATTTCATTTCTTTTGCTGGTTTCAGGAATTTTAGCTCTTTTCATTTAAATTTTCTTATTAATTAAATATTTACAATTAATTGAAATAAAATATTAGGGAAGAAGACCCCCAAATAGACATTTCGTTTAGAATTTTTGTATAAGTGGCAACACTTTATGCTTTTTATTAATTTTGTTGTTAGTACAGATGAAATTCTTAATGCACATTTGAAAGAAAAAAGTAACCTCGGTCCTAAGTAGGTATTTCCCTCTTCGATTTCGCAACAGAAATAAAATGAGAAAAAAATTAACAAGAAATCTTCATATACTTTATAAATTTATTATCAGTGTATACTGGTTGAATCAGCTGCATACTCTGGGCTGTGAATCAGCGACTTTTCGCTGATTGAAATTTAGAGAGTGCCTATACTATTTTCGTCGGCTCTTCAGGTAATGCTAACTCATATGAGTTATTTTTAAAATCTTGAGTTATAACATAAGGACCATAATATATATGGAAAAATTTTCTAGTAACTTTTCTAAAAGCGTCAGATTTTTTAGGTATGTGTAACAAAACTAAATCCTCTTCTTTTAAGATTACTTTAGAGATCAACTTTTGAGTACGACCGCGTTTTTTATTATGATTATTCAAAAGTAGAGAGAAAAACAAAACTTTTTTTCTCTTGTCAAAAAATGTAAAGAAGCAATATTTTTTTAGTTATCTGACATTAAAAATATATCTTTATTTAAAAAACGAAAATTTTGAAAATTCATAACTCAAAAATTTGGCCTCCAAAAAAATAAATATCTATATCTGTTTTTTTTAATAGAGAATAGAAAAAAAATATTTTTGGCCAATTTTAAGAGGTCGACTAAAATCTCACGTGGAATTGCCCATAAGCAACGATTTTAGTGCATATCTAAAGAAACGAGGAATTGGACGAAGACTGACGCATGGGTAGGAAAATTGAAATTAAAATATATGGATTGTACACGTTCGTTTAAATTTCAAGATCATTTATCCGAAAAAGAGCAGAATAATACTGATAAATTTCCTGCGATCCACTAGCTTCACTTGGACTGTGCGTTGTATATGTATAAGAAAATATTGAAAACAAGTCCCACTTTACGCAGGTCTTTAATTTAATGCTAAAGAGAGCAAATAATTCCCTCCTTGTTTTTATATTCTGTTATTATATTGTCATCTTGCATTCTTAACCTTTAGAGGGCCGGTAAATTTGCACAGATTTTAGTAATTCTGTATTACAAAAAAGTTTACAAATAAGAAGTCAATTCAATAAAATGATTCGCCAACAAAAATGGTGGCCACCCCGGCCAGCAACAGTACGAAAAATAAATTTTTCAAAAAATGATCAAAATCACTTGAAACTTGTTACTCGGGGGTTTTTAGGGTCGCTGAATACGAATATGCAAACAGAATTTAAAAATTCAAAATGACAGATCCAATATGGCGGCCGACTTTTTTAAAAAATGATCAAAATAACTTGAAAATTGTTACTCGGGGGTTTTCAGGGTCGCTGAATACGAATATGCAAACAGAATTTCAAAATTCAAAATGGATCCAATATGGCGGCCGACTTTTTGAAGAAATGATTCAAATGATTTAATTTTTTATACTTTCCTTTAGCATTACCCAGGGCTAACGACGTGGACGTAGAAAGTTATGTAACCCCTTTTTTGTTTTTTTCTGTTTTTATATATTTTTTTATTTTTAGGTAATTTTTTAATGAAATAGAACAAACTAATAAATAAATGTAATTAAAGAATGAGAAACTATGATGAAGATGAAGTTATCCGAGAATTTCAAATGTATGGTACTCTTCGAAACAGGGAGTTACGCATAAGGCAGTTGTACAAGTGGAACAGTAATATTTTGTTTTTTTTCTTGCTCCCTTGAGAGAACACACTTGGCAGCGTCGATTAGAATTACCTAATTTTGAAAAATGATTACCTGTCAATCGTGAGAGTCCAGAATGTCGAAGTATACTTTCAAAAGAAGATATTCCCAAAATGGATCGAATCACTTCCAGCCGAAATTTCGGAAATGACACGTACTTATTTTTCATTTTATATAAAGAGTAAGCTGCAGTGTGTGCTAAATCCATCAAGTGGAAAAACAACTTCCTGTACTACTTCATTGATTTTCGTACAGATTCTGTCAAAGACAACTGCCTGTCAATGTTGTCAATGCCGCCCATATTCCGATTGTACTCAACAACACAAGTTGGTTTGACAATGTTTTCGTTAGTACTCTCTAAATCTGAATCAGCGAAATTTCACTGATTCTCAGCGATAAGTATGCCACTATTTCAATTAGCGTATATGCGCTGTGAATTAGTGAAATTTCACTAAATAATCAGTGAAACTTCACTGATTAATTAGCGCATATACGCTAATTGAAATAGTGGCATACTTATCGCTGAGAATCAGTGAAATTTCGCTGATTCAGATTTAGAGAGTACGGAAGTTTTTTTTCCCAGTTGCACAGAAATCAAGTTCGTAAACTGTGGTAATCATATAGACTTCCTTTTTGTCCATCCATTTGATGAGAAGCCAGCAAACAGTATGAGCAGCCTCTACTTCACCCCGTTGTAATTTTGATTCCATTTTCGGTAAATCTTTCCGGTTAGATTTCACTGTTCCGCAGATTCCCGTATCGCGATCGTGTAAAAATTCTTCCAACTGAGCGGATGAGTACCAGTTGTCGACATACACAACATGGCATTTCCCAAAGTATGGTTTTAGAAAATGAGCAACAATGTCACCAGTTATTCCCAAGCCAAACTTCTCGTAATCAGTATTTGTCCCAGTGTACACGATGAAATTCAAAATAAAACCGGTTTGGCAATCTACTAATTCAAAAAGTTTGATGCCAAAACGATTTCTTTTTAACGGGAGGTATTGTTTGAACTTTAGTCTACCTTTCCACAGCAAGAGACTCTCATCAATCTATAAATTTTTGCCGGGAATAATCGTGTTCGAAAATTTATCTTGAAGATAATCTATAATGGGTTTCACTTTTTTCAGTGGATGGTCTGTCTCGGATAACTTCATCTTCATCAAAGTTTCTTATTCTTTAATTACATTTATTTATTAGTTTGTTCTATTTCATTAAAAAATTACCTAAAAATAAAAAAATATATAAAAAACAGGAAAAAACAAAAAAGGGGTTACATAACTTTCTACGTCCACGTCGTTAGCCCTGGGTCATGCTAAAGGAAAGTATAAAAAATTAAATCATTTGAATCATTTTTTCAAAAGTCGGCTGCCATATTGGATCCGCCATTTTGAATTTTAAAATTCTGTTTGCATATTCGTATTCAGCGACCCTGAAAACCTGTAAATGATATGTTCCAAGGCTTCTTTTTAAATTCTAATTTGTTGGCCATTTCAGTAGTCATACCGGCCCCCCTGTAAAAAAAAAAGTATTGGGAGGTACGGGATTCCGTATTGCAAGTGCCAACCTGCCAATGCGGTATTCGCGAAATACCGCATTGGGTGTCGTGGTGAATACGGAAATCAAGGGGTCCCAATGCGGTGCCAGTTTTAAGCTTTAAAAAAAACGAAAATACGTGACAGGAGGAAATAATTAGTGTCAGTGCAGAAATATGCGAGTTAATGGAATGAGAAAATAATAATAGTGAGTGTAAAAATGAAACTTTAAGAAAAAAAGGTAAGTTGAACTGTCAAATATGAGTCCAATGCGGCGTAGGCTGCTTTCAATGCGGTACACAATCGGTACATAGTGCAAGTCGCCAGTAGAGGGCAGAAGCAAGCAGAGCGAATCGAGCGAACACAGTGGCCCAGCTGACATATGATTTGCATTACATTACTTTCCAATTTTTTATTTTATAACCACGTTTCTGCATGAATCTAAACAATATTTTCGATTATTGTAATTTAGAAGATGCTTACCAATTGTACGTTGGCAGATTTAGTGAAAAGTGTCTGTGTACGGAGACAAATGTGTTAGAAAATGTTTGTTTACCTATTTCACGCCATTCAAACCAGTCAAAGTTGCTTTTGCTGTGGCGCATTGAAATCAGCCTATGCCGCATTGGGCCCATATTTGACAGTTCAACTTACCTTTTTTTCTTAAAATTTCATTTTTACACTCACTATTATTATTTTCTCATTCCTTTAACTCGCATATTTCTCCACTGACACTAATTATTTCCTCCTGTCACGTATTTTCGTTTTTTTAAAGCTTAAAACTGGCACCGCATTGGGACCCATTGATTTCCGTATTCACCACGACACCCAATGCGGTAATTCGCGAATACCGCATTGGCAGGTTGGCACTTGCAATACGGAATCCCGTACTTCCCAATACTTTTTTTTTTACAGGGCCTCTAAAGGTTAAGTCAAGTGTAGAATTGTTGTCATTTGTATACTCCTTTAATATTATAGATTTTAATTTATCCAAACTGTAATCCTTATTTCCGTCTAATGTTACTTTAAAATTTTTTCCAATTACTGGACCCATAAAATTATATTTGGAGTCTGCATCAGTACGATCTTTCCAAGAAACTAATAGTACTCTCGGAAAGGAAAGGTTTCTCATTTTTTTAACGCTCTCTTCATTTTTCATTTTCTCACCCAAGACCTAAAAATAGCAAAATTAAAAGGCTATTAATAATTGTACATTACTTTTTTAATTAAATAAGAAAGTTGCATTTATGTAATGTTCACGCAATCGTTCTAATTTTGTTTAAGTTAATTTTATATTCTTACATTAACATAAGTATCTTGCAATTCGTTAATTTCTAGAAACTTTAATTTTTTTATATATACATTATAACTTCTTCATTTTCGCGAGAATATAAACATTTCTTCATTTTCTACTTTATGCATACTTGGAATTGTAAATTTTACAATATGTAAATTCATACCTCAGAATAAAATACCTTTGTTATATAATATTCATAAAGAGGGAAATGAAAAAATTAGTTGTAAGATTTTTTTGTACATTAGAATTCTCAACAAGAAGAATTGTTCTAAAACTTGCCCTCTGCCCCTTCTAAACAAAGAGAAACTTCATATAAAAACTTCATCATCTAAATTTTAAGAAGATAGAAATTATTATTATTAGTGTAGAATGAGGGGTCGTATGATACTGGAAATAAATATTTATGAATGTTAAAAAATAACCTTCTTATTAGCAGCTTTGTCTCCGTAAAAATTATTCTCTACTTATTTCAATTTTTATTACCCACAGTTAATAACATGATTCCACATATTTTTTAAGGATCCTCAGAGGTATATTTTTGGAGAACATCTAAAGAATTTGTTAACTTTTAAACGAGTTATTAAATAATTATAAAAGTGCCATTTTTAGGGGTTTCAATTTATTTTGTAAGTAAACAAATTGACCAATTGGTATTTAAGACCCGCCAATTTAAAGATAATTACGAGCTCTGCAACTTTCAATTTGTTTTGTCACCTTTAACATTGTTTATAACGCGCATTTTGAAAAACCTCGAATCGGAAAGATATACACATTTATTCTTCCACCCCACACTAGATATGAATCCACAATCAAGAATCAGGTATGAATTTTGGTAACAAATGACGACTTTTTCAGTTAGTTTATTGGGTTTGGATTCTAGAGCATTAAACCGAAATGAAACCGTGTCTATCTTGGGGTCCTTTCCCTATACATATAATGTAAAAAAGAAAACAAATAAATATAAATTAATTTATTTTTTGAAAAATCGGTTATGTAGTTTATTTTCAGGAATGACGGTAGTGGCTAACTTTTTTCTAATGGTCACATGGTTACCAGCATGTGTCGTAATAGCTGAAAAATGGCATCTTTCATTCCTTACACCGGCACATTTTATAGTTAGAAAGATTATCAGGCCATTGAAACTTTTTATGAACAGAATTTCAAATCGATACAGTCACTGCCTTGCACAATTCAGTGTTGGTTTACGATGGTTCTGGTTTATGGTATTAGGAGCAATTGCCATCGCTGGAATTTCTATAATTTTTCGATATCCTGGGCTACAGTTACCTGACTCGCCCAATTTTCAATTATTTGATAGCTCGCATCCTTTCGAGCAATACGAATTGATCTACGCCAAACGATTTTGGTTTGAAAAACTTGAAATGGTTCGTTTACTAAAAAAAATTTTTTTTATTGCTTTAAAAAACTTGAAAATAACTTTTACCCTCATAGCACAGTATTTTTCATCAAGTTTACAAGAAGTTTACAAAGTAAAGTTTTATAGTCTATGTTAATGTTGCTCATATTTTTAAATTTTAATTGCAAAATAAATTGTATAAGTTTATCAATTATAGTCTCCTTAAATGATTATTAAGGGGTACAGACAATCTAGAATTTTGGAAAAATTGTTTTTTTGGCTTACAGGGTACATTAGGGTCTTAGAACAAGTGAAGGTGTCTGTGTGCATCAGTATGCGTCAATGATTTAATTGCTTCTAAACTTTTAATCGCGTTTTTCTCGAAATCACATTTTTCAAACTGGGAGGACAGATAACTCAAATCCTATTGCATCGATTTATCTGAAATTTTGATAGAAGCTTCACAATCACATTCTTTTTGGAAGTACGTAGTAGTTTTTTGATTCAATGTAAACTTTTTTTTTATAAATAATTTAGAGCCCATTTCTTTGCTCAAAAATCGATGTTCTTAAAAAAAGTGCAAGTCTTTCACAAAAATTGATTTGGGAATTTTCAACAATTAAGGGCTCGGATCGAAGAACCGACGCTTCGCAATGTTCTGTGCGTTTACAAGCGTCGGTTCTTCGATCCGAGCCCTCAATTATACATGTGTAATTTACAGGAAGGTTACAAAGAAATTTTTCAAGCTTTGCTTTGTAAATTAATTAGTTTACTTTGTAAACTTTCAGAAAAATACTGTGCTATTTGGGTATATTTAATTTTATATATTATTTAATCAATAATGCTTTTAGGGTGATGGAGGAGCAGTGCTTCCTCTCAGATTTATATGGGGTGTGAAACCAATTGACAATGGTAATTACAACGATCCATCTGCCAGAGGATCTTTTGTACATGATGAAAGTTTTGATATGACAGATGCAAATTCTCAAGAATGGCTGCAACAATTTTGCAGAAATCTTCGAAATCAACCGTTTTATCGGAGTACATTAGGTCCTCTTCTTCCAAATTGTTTTATTGACACGCTAAGAAATTGGATGGAAAGACGCTGTGAAGACCCGGCGGATCCAAGCGCAGATAAAATGCCCTGCTGTAAACAAAGTAAATTTCCCTATAAACCAGAAGTTTTACGGGAATGCGCTGCGAAAGCTAGTGATGAATTGTATAAAACACCCTCACACTTGTGGAGTCGAGGTGCTCCCTTAACGGCGGGTTTGAAATTTCTTAGAGAAGAAATCGATGTCTCGAATATATCACACAGCTCAAAAAAACTACAATTTATTCCCAAAATAAGAGCTTTAGTGGTCGAGTATGACAGCACATTTGTTTACAGTCTTTCATTTGCAGAGATGAATAGATTTTACAATCAAGTAAGGACTAATTATGGAAAAATTATTTATATTTTAGGAAATTTGTATTCATATTTCAATGTTTACTTTTAAATTACTGTTACATGCGTTTCTTTTTATTTTATAATTTAATAGAATTATACAATTTCCGAGATGATAAATTCATCACCTTGTTTCTTTTCCTTCAGGTGGAAAAGTGGATGCAAGAGCAACTTACGAACGCGCCTCCTGGAATGAAAGGTGGTTGGTTTGTGAGTCGTTTGGAATTTTATGAGTTGCAAAGAACGTTATACGAAGGTACAATTTGGGCAATGATTGTTTCTATGATTCTGGCACTCATTGTTTTGGCGTTTGTGACTTTAAATTTTCTCGTCAGTCTCTATGCGATTATTGCAATTGGCGCTGCTATAGTTGTTATTGTTGCAGCATTGGTTCTTCTTGGGTGGAGACTAAATGTCCTAGAAAGTGTTGCAGTTTCAACAGCTATAGGTTTGTATAATAAATTTTAAAAAAAGTATAGGGCAAGTTTGGCGATAGTGATGAGCGATACCAGAAAAAAGTATTGATACTTTTTAAACATCGATATTGATACCGTCAAAATATCGATCAAAAAAGTATGGATACCAAAGTTTATTACATTATTAAGATTCTAAAAAAACATAAAAAAACGTGACTAGCAGAAATTGCACATTTATCACAACAATAATACCATAAAAAGTTTTTATTTTTTTGTTTTAAAAACCCCAGTCTTCTTCTTTAAAATGAGATAAAAATACTAATTTAGATAATCTTTCAAGCTTTAGACGACTTTTTCTGTTAGTATCAATTACAGCTGCTTTTAAGAAAAGTCTTTCACATGGCACAGACGTTGCCTGGATGCTAAGATATTAAACTGCAATTAGATAAATATTAAAAAATAAAAGTTTCACTTTTTCCCAATAAACTAAAGGATTTCTTTTTTACGTCGTAACTTCTTGAGCTAAATAACTTCTTAATTCTGAAGATATTCCACGTGGTTCATCCGGATTTAGAACACTTTTCTGGGCTTGTACATAATGAAATTTTCAAAAATTATCTCTGTCGTCTTCAACGACATTAACTTCCAAATTTTCGTTAATTTGCATTTCCTCAGCACCTGTAGTAGTTTTCATTTCCTGTGAAATTTGTTTTGTTGCATGTGCTACAATTAAAGCACTTAAAAAGTGAATCTTTTTAAATCTAGGATGCAGAAGTGCAGCTTTTGTCAACGTAAGATATTTTTCGGGTAAATTTGAAAATCTCTGTTTCATTTGATCCAATAAATTCATTTGTAGCACCATACCAATTGCTGATTCACAGCATGTGACTGTTACAGAAATCAATGATAATTTTTTCGACCACTTTTCTCTTAAAATATTAAATAAATTAAGCTAGTTTTTTGTGAATAACTCTAAAATATAATAAAGAAAAGCAGTGATGTGCAAAAGTTTTAATAATTCTAAAATAAATTATAAAAAAATACTTTGAAATCGGAAAAGACGAGAAATTGATTAAAAGTGATTTTGAGAACTGATAATTTTAAAGTTATTTTTTAATAAATAATTTTAAAAATATTAAAACTTTTTCACATCACTGCCCTTCTTTATGATATTTTAGAGTTATTCGCAAAAAACTAGCTTAATTTATTTAATATTTTAAGAGAAAAGTGGTCGAAAAAATTAACATTGAATTCTGTAACAATCACATGCTGATTCAGGATTATTTTTCTCTACAGCTACTTTCAGGCAATGGACAATAGGAATTACTTTACTACACGTCACATCTTCTGTGCAGAATTCCTTAGTAACTTGTTCAAAGGGTTTCAGGAGATACATCACTTCTTTAAGAGTTTCTATTTCCTGCTGCAGTAACATTGACTAACCACCAGACATATTAAGCAAAACAGAACTGACCCATGGCCCCATTAGAATGAAACGTTCCAACATATAGTACATGGTGTACCATCACGCTTCATCCTCTTGCTTCAGCTTCAGTAACGTTCCCTCTATTTTTCCTTCAGCTAGTTGAAAACGACGCAACTCATATGTTGCTTTGACCATTTTTTAAAATAAGTTACAATACTTTTAATTTTATTTTCCAAGCCACTTTTTAAATTCCAAATTTAAACTATATATCTAGTCTCTGGAGAACCCGTGTCTATGTCAAAATTAACAATATTACCATTTAACTTTAATTTCGTTTCGAAAGGTTTAATACCGTTTACTTTGACGATGTCCTCCAATTTGAATAATCTTTCGAAATCGTCGACTAAACTTTCACTTTCTTCTAAAAAATTTTGTTTATTAAAATTTTGCTTCATAGGTTTGCCATTGTTTGTTTTTTCTTGACCAGAATTGAAAATCTTCGTTTTACACATACCTGATAGATGTCCTACATTACCACAACTGTTGCATTTATACGCTTTATACTTGCAAGTGACTGGACTGAGATTATTTTTCCCGCAGCGCATACATTGGAAACTCTTGCCCGTTTGCTTTTCCGAAGATCCACTGCAGCCATTCCTACAACGGTTCTTGTCCCTGATGACATTTATAGACATCTGCTCTGCTTTTTTGGTCGACTCGTTCATCCCTGCTGAAATTATGTGAAATCTTTTTCTCTTAATAACCGTTTCTGCAGCGCTTTTGTTTTTTAAACCCCAAACGAACTGATCCCTCATTGAATATTGTAAGTTTGCACCAAAATTACGATACGTCGAAGCTTTCTTGATTTCTTCGACAAACGCTTTGATCTCTTGAGTCTCGCGTTAGATACGCTGACGAAATTTGTAACGCTCGAGAATTTCGTTTGGCTTCGGCACCATGTGGTCCTTCATAATGGCTGCTAATTTGTTAAACTTTTTCGACGATGGCAAGTCTGCCCCGCACAAGTTCCTTAGAATCTCTCGAACCAGAAAGTCCAATTTTCTTTACGAGAGTACTCGTAAAAAGAACCAACAATCGACGCCATATTTCTTCGATCAGCTTCTACTCTTGCCCTTAATTCGTTGACTCTCTGACTTTCTAGACTCAAATGTTCCCTCTGTACCAGCTGGTGAATACTCTTTTTTCCCATTCTATATTTGATTGAGGCCAAGATTCCCAACGCATCCGATACTATCAGGGATCTAGCAATGTTATGTTTATGTATATATTTCAGGGCTGACAGAATGGCGTACGCTTCACATGTTGTTGAAAAGCAAAAAATCATGTATACGTACACCAAACTCCAAAATAGGTGGGAAAGCAAATGAAGAACTCGCTCTATCATTAGATTTCGATTTTGCCCCATCAGTGTAAAAAACTGAGTAGTCAGAATAAGTTTCATATATTATCCCATCCAGTTTGTTGTTAGGATTTATATTAATTTCAATGTCATATCCTGACTCAAGATCAACCTGGGCTGACATAGTTAATTCTTTCCATGTATAATCCAAAAGTTTTCCAGAACGCAAGAGACCACCTGCAATCTTTTTAATTTTTTGGAATGAATTGATCAACGGAGATCGCAAAAGATACCCGGGAGGATTTTTATTTATCTTTATACACTCATTCAATAGTTGGAGCTTAAGGTTAAGAGGGTTAGACTTCCAGGCATAGTTGCGAAGAACGAATCTATCAGTCAGCATATTTCGTCTGAGAAATAATGGAGGCTCATTCAATTCAGCCAACATAAAATTCCGAGATGTTGTACTCATACAACCTAAAATTACGCGCAGAGCTGAATTCTAAAATCAATCCAAAATCAAGAGATGAGATTTACTTGTAGACGGAATAATTGTCAGTCCCATTCTAGATGTGCCCTGATAAGTCCTTTATATACAGAGTATAATGTAGACGGATTTGCCCCCCAGGTAATTTTCGACATAGATCTAAGAATATTTACAGCTTTTGATGCTCGTTGCCAATATATTTAATATGTTTTAACCAAGTTCTTTTAAGGTGGAGTGACACCTTTGAGGCCTCTTTTGAACCTGTTTTTCATTAATTTTTTAAGACAAGGGAATAAAGTAAACAAAATTTGGTTTTGAGGGATTTATTTGTTAACTTTTTAAGTTCACAAAAATATATTTATACGTAAAAAAAGTTTAAATTTGTTGCCTATAGAGGGCGCCGAAGTTGGTCTCCTTTCTCTGCAGAGCAAATCGGTGGGCAAGATTATATTTTATCCTCAAATGCTTCTGCCAATAATTTTGCACATTTTCATTAATTACTTCTCCGTCAGAAAATGATATTTTAGCTTTATTAATTTCCAAGGCTACAGCATAAGAAGCTTTAAGTGCTTTGTCAGAATCAGAATTTAAATCTACATTAACTTTCTCTACTTCTGCAACTACATTTTTTATGCCTGATTCTACAGTTTCCTTACTAGCTTTATACGATTTTAGCAAGGTAGACTTTTCATCATCAGCATAATTTTTGTATTTATCATGATGAAAATTTTGATAATGGCATCGAAGAGAATATTTTCTTATTGTTTTAAATTCCTTTTCACAAATAATACATGAAACCTTATTACTGCTATTAACAGTTACTAAATATTCAGTTTCCTATTGGGCCTAAAAGGAGGAATTAGAATATTTTGGGAGTGACATTTCCTCATAAATACCCACAAAGCATTAAAATAAAAAAAAATACTAAAGCGAAATGGACTGTTACAAGTGAGAGATTAAATTGATTTAATTTAAAATGTTGAACACAAACAGTAATTAAAAGAAACAAAAAAGAAATTAATTTAAATACACAATGACATTTACACAAAATAATCTACATAAATAAAAATAATAAAACGAAATATACTTTTTGTCCTACCTGCAGGCGGAAAAGTATTTTGCGCCCGCTTGTATGACGTCAGCGGGCGGTAAAGTATTTTCCGCCCGCTTCCCCTACCACCGAGTGGGCGGAAAAGTATTGTTTCTAACACACGCACCGAAAGTACATCATTTCTCACCTATAAAGAGGGTGGAAAGTACGTCTTTCCCTCATGGTTAAGACCACTAACTATATTCTTTCTAACGAGCGATTGGGAGGTATTGTGGAAATGAAACCCTTTTCCCTCAAGAAGGATTCTGGAATGTATGCATAAAACCCTAAAGATTTAAGGAAATGAGAATTCGTAAGTTTATTAGCATTGCATCACAAATCACAGAAAACCTTAAGTTGGTTAATACCACTGCGTGTTATTTTTCTTTTTTTCAAAGGAACGATATTAGCAAGTGCATCCGTAACCGCGAACGGATCCATTTTTCCTATATTGCGACGCGGCAGAGAACTTTCAATAAGAACCCAAAATGGAAAGATTGAATTAGAATTATATCTCAAGGTGTTTGAAAGAGGATCAGTAACTCTAAACCACTCGAGAGTCGGCGGGGACGACAAACTAGACCTAACCGCCAATCTATGCGCAATTACAGTAGTAATTCTTCTAAATGTGGGAGATGTTGATTTCCTTCTGTCGGAAATTGGAGGGATGTCACTTCCAGAATAATGTTTTTTTGACATATGTGCGGATTCAGAAGAGATTAAGTTAAGAGATAAAGTAGAAGGTAATGTTGTGTTTCTAGGTCGTTTTTGTTTTTGTGAGGTTGGGTCCAAGTGATCACACCCAGGACGACAGACGGCGCCCCCGTTTCCTCGGGGTGAAGTTAGTGGTTGTGTAGTCGATGGATCATCTAGATGGTATTTGAGACGTTCTACAATCTCACTTAAAGTGGCAAACCCAGCGTCCACGGCTTTTCCTCTGTCACGTCCCCGAGGAGAAAGAGATCTTTTATTTGGCACAGCCGAATCTCCAGTTACTTCCGGATTCATTTTCTAAAAATAAGTTTCTCATAAATAGAGGTATACAGAAAAAAAGAAAAGTCTTTAATTAAATAATCAAATAATATTTAATAATATTAAAAAAAAATTTGCAATAACTTTAAAAAATTTTTTTAAATAAGAGTTTAAAAAAAGTATGTTTTTTACCAGTTCTGGACCAGAAAGTCGCCTTAAACAAGTGCATATTTTTAACTAAATAAAATATCTTTTCTTTATTTAGCTAAATAATAAATATTTGAGCTAAAAAATTAAGTGTCATGCAATTTTAGTTTCATTAATTTGGTTGCAGGTTTGGCAACAGACTTTTCCCTGCATTATGGTGTGAGTTACAGAGCTTGCAGCTTGGAAAAAAATTTGGATCGCGCTACAGTCGCACTAAAACAAATGGGAGGACCGACTTTAATGGCAGCTATCACGAGTGGTGCTGCCGGTGCATTAATGTTGCCATCTCAAGTATTAGCCTATATTCAAATAGGCCTTTTTTTAATATTAGTTATGGGAGTTAGTTGGATTTACGCAACATTCTTTTTGTGTCCCATTCTTGCTATTGTAGGTCCATCTCCAACTTTTGCTCAATTTCAATATCTAAGGTAAGAAATTTTCATGTATATAGATTCAATTATTTATTTATACACTCGTTGACATCGTACACATGAAGTTTAATATGCAAGCCTTTACCCTATGTTAAACTTGCATAAAGAAATAGCATTTTTTAATTTAAAACTATAAGAATTAAAATAATTATTTTTAAGCTTTATCATAAAGATATACAAAGAAAATTTTCAAAAATATTAATATTTTAAAAAAAACGTTACCATAGTCATAAGTTACCACTTTGTGGAGAATCGCCCATATAAGAGACTTCTTTTCTACAAATTATGTTTAAAAAATTCAAAATTGTAGAAGATACACCATTTTTAATTTTAATATTAATTTTATAAAATTTTGAATATCTCGGAAAATTGTTTATGTAACTTAAACTCGTTCACATATTGAGCTGCAATCACTAACGTAAACGCAATGACTGAAATGTCCTCTTGTTGATTAACCCCTTAAGTGCTTACCATGACACTTAAGGGGTTAGTATACTATTAAATAATTAAATTAATAACCATAATTTTTTAAGAATAAAATAATTATTAATAAATTGATGGATAATAAGATAATATATATTTTAAAATACATGATGAATCTTTAAATTAATAATTTGCCCGATATTTGCAGACTGTGGAGGGCATTATTCAGTATTCATAAAAAGAGAACGAATACAACGAAAGTAGAAAAAGAAGTAAGTTCCAATCGTAGACGATGGAGAGGAAGAGGAATGTTCTCAGAATCGACAATCAGTACGTCGAGTACCGTTTGTCAAATTCATTGTAGTGAATTGGAAAATCTCGCTGTTCGTCCACCTTCACCATCTTTTCCTCCATCTCCAACAGCTACTCTACTTCATCTCGAATCGAGTCAAACAAACCTAAAAAATAATCGTCGAAAGCAAAGTAATGACCACGAATAATATGTATATATTATATATATGAGCTAACCAATTTCAAACCACGCATAAAATTTATACAGTAATATTTATTTGTTTCTAACCCCTCAAAATTTGACTTTATAAAAAATTGTCTAATTAATATTAAATAGAAAATGTCTTTTCGCATATTTTTTCTTGTATTAAAATTAAAATGTTATATTTACTTATATTTGACTGATAAAAAGTTATTATCAATGCTTTACTTTTAATTAAAAAATAATAATTAATTTTTTTGCTAATCAATGTTAAAGTTGTGCTGAATATTTTCAACGTTTTATTTATTCAGAAAATTGTCATAAAGAATTTATCTTTAGTGTTCATCAGTATATAAAAAACTTTTCTGTAGAGTTTTATTTTTATTTAATTACCGCCAATAGGAAAATTATGAAGATTTCCTCGAAGTTTCATTAAAAAAAATTTCTTTAAATGAGCTATTTGAACTTAAATATTATATAATTGTCTCGCATTTGCTCTGTCAAACATAAAAAATATTGAACATTTTGAAGATTTAAATCAGAAACACTACAAAAAGTGACTTGACTGAACTCTGAACAGAATTATCGTAGAAGGTTCACTAGGGGGTCAAAAAATGCATCTAAAAATTCTACGAAATGAAAGAGAAATATTTATAGGTGTCTTAAAATTTTCTAATAGTTGTAAGCAAAATACATTATTTTAAAAAATTAAAAAAACAGAAAAATTATTATAATAAAAAATATGAAAACAAAACTTGCAAAATTGTAAGTCACAACATATTTTTTCGTAGTTTTTAAATATTTTCTACCTAGTTCTCTTCATTGGCACTCCTTTTCTTCCCAAGCAACGATATTTTTATTAGTGTGGTCTTATTTTGTTTCATAAAAATACATATATTTTATAAATAAAACATATTTCATTAACAACTATCAACATCCAATACATATGCAAAGAATCTTTTTTGCTTAGGAATTTATAACAATTGATTTCACATGTTAATTTATCTGAGGATGCCTGTCGTCAACAGGCGAAAGCTAAATAATACATAAAATATATGGATTTTTATCAAACAAAATAAGACCACACCAAAATTGCAAATTTAAACAAAATAATATCTTAAAAGATATTTTTATTAGTTTGTATAATTATATAATCAAACGAACTTATACTTGTAAGTGAAGTTCGATTACAATTATACTTGCATGGCGCCTCGTACTCGAGATTACATGTAGACGTTTACAGATAGTATTTTTTCTTATTTAACTTTGTGTTTATTTAACTTTCTTCGACAAAATAAATTTTACTGTGATTAAATTTACATAAAGTAATGATTGAATTTGTAAGTTTTTTAACAGAGTAATAAAAAAGGAATTTATTGTTTTTTCTTTCCTAAAACAGAACGTGCGCAGGAATTATCACGTCCCGAGCTAAGATAAGGGTAGTTTTGTTAAGTAAATAATAAAAGGGAGGTAAATTGCTGATTTGTCAAGTTGGTAAGCCTTGACATTTATTTTTAAGTGTGGATTCGTTTGACTTTGAAGGAACTACGACTTTCCGTTAAATAATTATATGCATATTCCTTTTTAAGTGGTCATTTATTAACAATTTATTATTTTAAACGATCAAAGTTACTTACAATTTTGAAGCGTTTTATTGTCTATGAAGTTTACAATATAGGGTAGTGGCACCAGTGAAAGAACATTTAAGGAAATGTATACTTTCGATATTTTTTATTTTTAATTGACATTCTTGAATTTCCTTTTAAACATATCCAATGAATAGCAAAATTTCTAAAGAATTTGAAGCCTATGATACAAATTTTGTAAATATAATGTATAATATAATATAACATAAGTCGTTCAATCTTAAACAAGTAATAATATGTTATAACTTTTATATACTTAGTCATCTTTACATGCATTCATAATTTTAAATCTAAGTCTCTAGTGTCAGATTTAAGAATCTTCTTACGCTTGTGTCACTTTGCGCCGTTTATGATAAGCGAGCGGCGACAGATTAATTACCATCCCTATCAAAAAAATCAGCGCTGGATTTAAACTGGAACCTACGCTAGAACTACAACTGGAATTTGGAACTAAAAATTTGTCGATCTTATTATAGTAACAAATAAACAGTAAATATAAAATTGACAATTTAATTATTGTTAAAACAAATAATTGTTGTTATTGACTAACTTTTGGCATACAGAAATAAGAAATATGCAATTTTTTGCCCTTTTTGTAGACCCTACTAAGAAAATAATAAGGAATAATAAGGAATAAATAAGGAATAATAATAAGGAATCATGACAAAACATCAGAATTCTGATTATTCGTCAGATTTTCTGATGCTTTTTCGTGACTCTGATGATTTGTCATTTTTCTGATTATTTCTGACAGGATTTTTAGTATGGATTTGATGTTTTCTGAGAACTCTATCAGCTTCTCATTTTTTTCACAAACCAGGCTAACGATACTTGAAGCGTATGTTTTCATTTCTTCAAAATGAAGTTTTTTAGAATAAATTTTAGATATTTGGAATCATGAAATATCACAGAATCTAAATTTGTTAATTATAAACTTCAATTAGTTAAATTAAACAAATTTCAAGTCATAAAATTTTTGTTTAAAAAATCATAAACCTTCAGAACAATGCCTTTTTTGCCCACTCGACTCAACTCACAATCAGTCACAATGACCAATTTGATACGCACCTTTCTTTAACAATAGATTTTCGGAATCTATTGTGATGACTTTAAAACAATAATTTTATAACTTCAAACTTCTGCATTTTAACTAATTCAACTTTGTAACATAAAAATTTAGAATCTACGGTATTTTACGATTCCAAATATCTAAAATTTATTTTGAAAAACATTTGTTGATATAAATTATATAAGGTTTAAGTGATAATTAAATAAAAGATTTTTAAAATAAATTTTAGATATTAGATACCATAGATTCTAAATTTTTATGTTACAAAGTTGAATTAGTTAAAATGCAGAAGTTTTAAGTTATAAAATTCTTGTTTTAAAGTCAACACAATAGACTCGGAAAATGATAGTTATGGGTGTATACAATTTTTGTATTTTTTTCTTGAGCAAAGAGGGCCAGAGCAAGAATAAACAAGTTTTCAACACTCAAGTTTTTGTCTTTTATCCATCACTATACAATTGACGACTACACTTTTTTTCACTTTAAATAAAATCATGTTCTGAATCTGACTGTATATTGAGACAAACTTTTAAAAAACCGCCTTCTCTATAAATACCGAATTTCAAATGTTCTCTATCAGTGTTGCGAAATTCCATTACATATGTATTACTATTTTTGGGGTCGCTTTTTCGAATGGTGTGGTCAAAATTTTCAAAAAATGATATTTAACCCTTCTTTTTTCAAAAATACTAAAAAAAAGTCAAGTTTTTATAATGTAATTTTTTTCAAAAGAATTTTTTTCTGTGTCATAACGCTTTTCAAATAGAACAAAAAGTATCAAAAACGTGTTCCCGATAGTTGTACTTGAAAAATATTCATTTCTAAATTTTATTTTTTTCGATTTTGAATTTAAAATGGCGCTTGAAGGACAAAAAGTTTTTCTTATTTTACGTAAGATGACAAACTTTTTCAAAATTGCTCAAATCTGATTGAAATTTGTTACTCAGGGATTTTCGTGGTCGCTGATTACGAATTTGAAGTCTGATTTCAAAAATTCAAAATGGCGGATCCAATATGGCGGATGACTTTTTAAAAAATTGATCGGATTCGCTTGAAACTCGTTACTCGGGGGTTTTCGGGGTCGCTGGTTACAAATCCGATGTTAGTTTTTAAAAATTCAAAATGGCGGATCTAATATGGCGGACGAAATACAAAAAGTTGTTCATTTTATGACCATTAAGCTTCCTCAATATATAAAAATTGCGGTTTTGCAAACTTTTGAAAAATTATGTACAAAAGGGTTCGTCCAGAAGATTGGTTAAAAATAAAATTATATAAATCATTTATAAGTTGTTGTATAAATATTTGGTGAAATTTACACTTTCATTTGCCAATTGCTTCTATTTTATGATAGAATAATCATTTCAAAATATAAAAAATAAATCAATTTTTTCATTATTAAATTAATTATGAAAAAAATACCAAATTTGAATTTTTTGTGAAAAAGAAAAATATTTATTAATTTTATAAATTTTGATAAAATATATACTTTGTATACATCAATCGATTCGTTTTCTTGCCAGGAATGTAATTTTGAGAATAATTAATAAAAATATTAACAAATAAAAAAATTATTTCAGAAAATACAAAAAAAAAAAAAATTTTCTGAATTTTAAAAAAATTGTATAAAAAAAAATTTTGTACATATTTTTGAAAATCCTTGTGTCAGATTTCAGGTATTAATGACTGCAATAAACCTGCAAAATTTCAGGACAATCCATCAAAATTTGTCTGAGATAATTTGTACACAATTTTTGTGACATACACACACACACACATACACACATACACACACACATACACACATACATACACACACACATACATCTGGACATTTGCTCATAATTGAATATACATATGTTCTAGATGAAAATGAGTCCATATAACCTTGTTTTGAAAAATTGAAAATCGTCACCAATGCAAAGCTTCCTCATGAGGAAGCAAAATTGTTCAGATTTGCTTGAATCTTGTTACTCGGGGGTTTTTGGGGTAGCTGATTACGAATTTGATATCAGATTTTCAAAATTCAAAATGGCGGATCCAATACGACAGATGACTTTTTTAAAAATTGATTGGATTCGCTTGAAATTTGTTACTCTGCGGTTTTTGGGTTCGATAATGACGAATCTGACGTTAGATTCAACAAATTCAAAGTGGCCAAAATATAATGAAAGACTAATTTTTTTAATTTACTCAGGTTTGCTTGAAATTTGTTAGTGTGGTATTTTTAGGGTGGCTGATTACGAATATGAAGTCACATTCCAAAAATTCAAAATAGCGGAATTATTATACTCTTTTTGCTCTGACTCTACCAGTATCAACTTATCTATATTTCACAATATGTGACAGGAAAATTTAAAAGTGATCTATGGTACGAGAAAATCGATGTTAGTTTTTCAAAATTCAAAATGGCGGAACGAATATGGCAGAAGAAATTAAAAAATTAGTCGGATTCACTTGAATTTTGTTACTCTAGGGTTTTCGGGTCCACTGATTGCGAATCCGATGTTCGTTTTTAAAAATTCAAAATGCTTGGTATAAAATAGCTATAAGAATTGGTAAGGATATTTTTTACACCTCGTCTGCCTTATCGATTCCACCATTTTGAATTTTGAAAAACTAACATCGGATTCGCAACCAGCAACTCCAAAAACCCACAAGTAACGTGTTTCAATAAGGTTTGAGATATTTTGAAAAATTCGTCCGCCATTCTGGATCCGGCATATTGAATTTTTCTAATCTAACGTCAGATTCGTCATTATCGAACCCAAAAACCGCAGAGTAACAAATTTCAAGCGAATCCGATTAATTCTTAAAAAAGTCATCTGTCATATTGGATCCGCCATTTTGAATTTTGAAAATCTGATATCAAATTCGTAATCAGCTACCCCAAAAACCCCCGAGTAACAAGATTCAAGCAAATCTGAACAATTTTTGTATTTCGTCCGCCATATTAGATCCGCCATTTTGAATTTTGAAAAACTGACATCGGATTCGTAACCAGCGACCCCGATAACCCCCGAGTAACGAGTTTCAAGCGAATTCGATCAATTTTTTAAAAAAGT